TTAATTAATTTTCTTTGTACTCTTCAGATTTTGAACAACCAGAAGTCGGCCCTTCATCAGCTTCCGGTCTCCCTCTGGTCAGTCTGTCTCCGAGTTCTTCAATGGCTCAGGAAGCTGATGAACTGGTTCAATCTGACGAGGAAGGAGAGGAAATGTGAGAGAAGTATTTTGGTCTGGTAATACAATCATTTAGAGGCAATTCTGAGGCTACACGAAATCATGAATTCAGTCGAGGGGTGGGGTTGTCCTTTCCTAGAAACCTTCGTCTCAGTGCTCACCTTTTCTGATATTTGTGTCCAACGAAAACGCAGCTAGCGTTGCAAGAATTCCCCGAGCTGCTCACGACTTAACGTAAATTACGTTCCTTAACAACATAAGGTTGAAAATCTGCATGCCCTTGTGCAACTCTCAGTTGTATTCGAATCATTTTGAACCAACAGATCTTTAGAAACTTGCCATGAATGGATTCGGTCACAATGTGTGGATAAGGAAAGGGAAGGATTTTAAACGATCAGGAAGCTTCCAGCCGAAACTGCAGCACCACGGTTTTTGTTTGGATTTTTTACCATGTTTGAAAATAAGTATTGAATTCACTGTTTTTCAGGCCACTAGAAGCGAAGATAATTGAATTAGAACGCGGTCCCGAGGGCCTGGGTTTCAGTATCGTGGGTGGTCATGGGAGTCCACATGGTGACCTGCCCATCTACGTCAAAACTGTCTTCCCGACTGGCGCTGCGGCCAAGGATGGGCAACTCAAACGCGGTGATCAGATTGTTGCTGTGAATGGAGAGAGTCTCGTAGGAGTGACCCACGAATCTGCCGTGGCTATGCTAAAAAGAACCAAGGGAAGAATTGTTCTCACAGTGCTTTCGTAAAGAGTTAAACTAGAGTTACAAAGTGACCGTCAAATTTCCTAGTGCAACTTAAAAGAGCTACTTCGAGAAAAAAAAATACCTTCAACTCGAAAGAAACTTTAAAAATAGAAATTCTTTCAGAGAGAAAAAGAATATAGTAGTTTGGTGAAAAAGAAAAACACGCGACAGAAATTAAAAACCAAGAAAGATCAGGATGGCCAAAAGTGAAAAAGATTGACACGGATTCCAAATCATGAACTTGAAGAATTTAGGCGAAATTTCGTAAAACAAAGAAAGCGTAACGTAGCTCTGTTAATGTTTCACGGGTGATTTCTCCCTTCTTTTTTCGATGTGGTTAGTAACCACGTTATTAACTACTTTTTTTCGTTTTAAACCGTATGTTTGTTAGCTTTCTCTCGACGTTTTCCGTAGTATTCGTTTTTTCACTAAAGGATGAATTACAAGATTAATTTTACATCAACATAAAGAAGGAAGCTGAAAAGGCAATGATTACGCTTATCAAACAATCTTCGCATTGTGTAGCTTTTTATAAGGAGCTTTTTTTTTTTATAAGAATCATATCATACATCGTTAATAGATGAAGACGCACGCCCATTGACTACGTGTTTCGTCAACTGTGGTTAACTCGGATGGATTTTTATTTCTTCGAGATGCAACCTTAATGGGACTTACATTTTGACGCTTGTTTCTTTTAAAGTGCAATACTTATTGCTTGAACATTTTATTGAGTGAAAGGGGCAAGTTTCTAAAGAAGTTGTGGCGCTGATCGGTGGGGTAGTACAAGAAAATTGGAAAGTATCAATTGAGTTGATAAGGTGAATTGGACATTGAAACTCACCTTATACAACTAAACTGCTTTTGTAAAGTAAGTATGAGAACCGCAAAATTGTTTACTGGTTTACCAAGATAAAGGCTTTTGTATAGTTTTTACAATAAATAGAACGTAACAGATTTCTATCCTGTATTAATTTTGTCGTTTCTTAATTTCGATCGCCCTTGGCGAGGCTTCTCAAATACTACCTTTTTGACAACGGCCATTTCCGTGCTCCAAAAACCCCCGCCTTAAATGAGGAAAAGTGTCAAACTTTTATTGTATAGATAAGTTTTTTTGCTTTAGAATAAAGAGATAATTTTCTTACGAAGGCTTCGCACTTAACCTCGATTCAAAGCAGAGCCTTTGGGAATCTAAGAAGTTGGTTCTCAAACGAGAGAGACTGGATCACAGAAGACGTAATACGGGCAGAAAAATAATTCACAAAAATGTTTATTGACACCTTAATTTAAACTTAAGACATCTCTTTGAAAACGTAACTACACCAAATCTTCAAACTGTATAATGTAATCAAAACGAATAGTATCGCTTTGTTAACTTTAAGCAACTATCATAATCTCTAATTTATCAGTTACAAAAAATTCTTGGAGTTTTTCGATGACAATCTTACAACTTGCCATTAATCAATGATATCTCTCCCGTTTTTTTAAAGCTGCTCTTCAAATCCCGTGCAATGATCGGGATTAATTAAACAAAGTTTAAGTTTTCTCATTAACTGTTGCGGATCACTGTAGGATATTGTGGGGAGGAGTCACACGTCAATCTCCGATAGGAGCGAAAGGGTTAAAGAGCCAAGGTCAACGAATGTTACTTTGGTAATTTCAGCAATGTCGAGCTAGTCACAGAATTTCCGTTAAAATCAGATTTGAGCGCATATCGATCGAGCGTTATGAAATCAAGACTATGGTGATTACAATGTCAAATCAGAACAAAGAAAAACGTCACAGTTCGCCAATAGGGACACAAAAAGAGTAAAAATAAAACTCAGCGAAGCGCGGGAAAACGCGTGTGACCAAGTCGTGATTGGTGAAAGCTTGTATCTGATTGGCTGGGAAGGTGGCGTAAATTTTTTAAACCAGTCACAGAGCACATTGAAGCGAAACTAATGCAATCCCTGATCATTTTCGACATACAATTATAAATTGCTGAAATCAAAACTAAACAGAATTACCCAAGTTCTTTGACAAAGCCCCATTCAAACCTTCCTCAATCGTATGCAGGCATAGGTTATCCACCACTGTGTACATCAATATCATAAACAATCTGTAATATCTACCCATGATAATTTAACTAATGTTTCTTCTTCCTCTTCTTCTTTCGTTGCTTATTTGGTCCATGAAATCTGTCTTCTTCAGGACCAAACTGCCCGAAGAACGCGCGCATGAAATTCTCAAAATCCCTCTCTTCTGATCTGCAATCAAACAGGCCAAGCATTATAAATCAGTCGCCAGTGATCCGGCCTTTATTTGGCGGCTGGTTGTTACTGACCACTCACAGTATAGAAAAGTCAGTACAGCAAAAAAGACATGGAACTGAATGACAAACCTGGAATTGAAGCCGCTCTGCTGCGTCTGACGAGTCTTGAGTTTCAGATGGACAGTATGAGGGTTGGCTTCCACTCGTCCGATACCCTTTTCATCAAAACAAACAAAAATATTAAACAAGGAGAAAATTGGACTAAAAATAGTTATGATCAACACATAGACCGTCTATGAGAGCGCGACTAGGGACTAGGGGGTTTTAGTATGCTCCTGCCCCTCCCCCCCACACTCGAAACGAAAATGTCATGGGTGAACAAGAGTTGAGCACAGCTGAAACGGCTCTGTGGGCGCTATCTTAAATTCGAGAAGTAGAGAAATTGGTGTGGGGGGAAGGGGCAAGAAAACAACTTTTCCTTACACTCCCACCCCTCCCTTCCGACGTTAACCGAATTCGAACATAGCAGCTCATAAATTTATTGCTTACTTGCAGCATAACGTAAATTTGGGTTCCCCTAATCATCTGCAATGCCTGTATTGCTATCTAGCCATTCAGTTTATAGGGATAAAACAAGATGCACACCTGACAAGCCGCCCACTCCGTGACATCAAATATTTCACCCTCCATACACGCGTAAAAGTGCAATTTGTAGCCAAGAAAGCTACTCTCTGCCCATAGATCTCCCTGAAAAATAGAGAATAAAGGAGTGTAAAATTGATCACCTTGTTCAACTTGTGCTAAAAGAAAGACATTAGGAACTTTAAGGCAAGTTTTCAAGAAACACTTAACGGAAACTAAAGCATTAGAGCATGAAAAACAAAAAACAAGTTTTCAGACGCAGAGCCCTCAGCCACACTCACTTCTCACCCTTCTGTTACGATTGGCCAAAAAATAAACACAGCCAATCAGGACAAATACCGACACCACAACGAAAGCCAATGAAAGCTCAGAGCATGACTAATCGATCTCGAGCGCGGGAAAACATGGATTGCATTGCAATGAGGTTTACATCTGATTGGTTACAGAAGAGGCGCGAGTTTCTCTGACCAATCACAGAGCGCGGTAAAGCAAAACCAAATTCATCCCAGATTACTTGCGTCCCTCGATTGAAGTTGCTCTTAATTAGTCTTAAAGTTAGCAGAGCCGTCGCCATACAAATGTGTGCAAGTACCTCTTTAGCAGCATGTCTTGTGTTGCAGCGACTACAGTAGCGAGCTGTCAAAATAAACCGGTCTGTGTTGTAGCGGCGGTGTTTTCCGTCACACACGTTACAAGGTAAGGAGTTCTGCATCTGTTTTTAAAGCAAACAACGTCAATGAAGTATTCATTACCGCGTTACAAAAATCTGCTGAGTAATTCTCCTTTCCCCCATTACGAGAATTAAGAGGTGCATCAAGACTGTGCCATTCAGCAGATAAGTTTGTCTAATTGAGCGTTTTTCAGCTGAAGGTGAATAAACTAAAACAAAAGTTATCACATCTTCCAATCATCACAAAGGTTAAAATCATTGTTAACCAATGAGAACTCAGAGTGAAAATAAACATGCCACCAAAAGCGCGGGAAATGCTGGTAATCAAGTCACGATTGGCTTTCGTTTTGCGCCTGATTAGTTTGAAGGATGACGCAAGTTTTCTCGACCAACCACAGAGCCAAATAAACCAAAACACTGTTACCCTTGACCTCTTCCGAAACTCCACTGAACACACACACACAAAAAAGAAAACAAGAAAACACTCCGCTACTGACGCGGTTTGAATTTCACCATCGCGCTCCGTTTTTCTTAATGCACCCTTAAAAAGAGGACCCAGATTTTTTCCACGTCCCACGTTTGAGTATGATATATAATATCTTTCTCTAGCAAAATACTGTACCTCTTGCATCTTTTTTCCTAAATCAGCGAAAAACTGTTCTGGACTCGTATGCCGACCGTAACGTTCCTGCTACAATAATTATTCAGCAAAAAGGGAGAGAGAAAAAATTCTTGTTAAAATCTTCAAGAAAAAATGTATAAGAAAAAAATCTGACATCTTTTGTAACCTGACTCTCGTAAGGTCCAAAAAACAACTCATTGGCTTAACCTGGGAACCAGTCTAACAACAGTTGCTATATAAACGACTCATTGGCTTAACCTGGGAACCAGTCTCTCTCCACCATTTCACTCACCCTTTCTTCTGCCCTCATCTTCCAAGCTGCTTCGACATCATAACTGGCACGCTTCTCCTGTTAAAAAGACATTGGACGAACATTGGACGAACATTGGACGAACATTGGACGAACCAGGGCTCGACACTAACGGTAACCCACTAGCCACAGACTAGTAGAAATTCAGTTTTGGTTTGTGATTCACTACTGGTTTGTGATTTCCACTAGCCAGTTTGGCTAGTAGACAAACTGAAATTGTTGTAACATCTAAGTTGTCACTAGCCACTTGGCGAGTAAGTTGAAAAGTTAGTGTCTAGCTCTGCAAACGAGCAACATATCCTTACTTTCATTGGTATGCCTGTGGCAGTAATAGACATCGGTATATTCAGAGGTAACTTGAAGCCGTGTCAACCGTCCATGACCTGCTGGTTTTTTGTTTCGTTTTCTGTTTATTTGTTTGTTTGCTTGTTTGTTTGTACTGTTTTATTTTTTTTGAGGGGGAGGGGCAAATGAGGCAAAAATAATAGTCATTACGATCTACGCCCCAGAGCGCCTTCTGTTTCCAGTCTCCATCAGAGTTAAGTAACGAATTACTGTTCAGCTACAATGAATATATGAAGTTCATATATTTTGAACTGCGGTATTAGATACGTATGATGC